GCGCGTCTTGTCCGGGCGAGAGGCGGGACAACACGCAACCACCACACCGCAAGGGCCCGGGCCGGGGCACAGCTCGCTGGATCGCCTCCCAAGCCCGGCTGCAGGGTGCGTTGCGGCTATCTCAACGCAGCATGATGCCGCAACCCTGCACAAGGGAGGGGCACGCCCTGCCTGTGCGCTTAGAGTGTCGTTGTCACCGATGCGAAGCTCCTGCACCGCAACAGTGTCCTGCGGGTGCGCGCGTACAAAGGGCACGGCACAGTATGCAAACAACAGCGCCGTGGCACGTAAGGAGTGGCGCTGTCAGAGAGCGAGGCGGGCCAAGCTGACTTGTGGGCCTGAGCAGGACTGCAAGCCTCCCTGGCAGCCCCAAATCAGCACTGCCGGTGCCTCAGCTCTCAGACCCAACGCGTCCTGGAGGTCTCCCCCAGGGCACGGCGCAGCGCCACCACCCAGGCCCCCCTCCCTCCACCCTCCCCGGGGCGCGGCCTCACGTTCTCGTTGACCACGGGGATGGCGCCGTAGGCCAGCAGCTCCGTGAAGGTGCTGCGCGCGTTGATGTACTGTGAGCGGTCCGCCAGGTTCTCCAGGGTCAGCAGCACCTGGGCACACGTCTGTGCAGCAGAGGGGGCCGTGAGGAATTACAGGTTTCATGAAATTGAAGATTCAGGAGCGGGACGTGAAGAGTGGTGGATAAATGTAAGGGGCAACACAACCGAGCACGGGGCTGGCATCACCGGGGTTGAGGGATGACTCTTCCATGCCCCTCCAACCAGGACCCTGAGGCTTGCACCCCTCGATCCAGCAATCCCCGCTCATCCGAGAGGCATCACCCCAATCCCTTCACCCCCGCTCCCGTCCCCCCCCCCTCCTGCCCCACCAGCCCCAGGGCCTGGAAGAAGTCCTGGTAGTAGCGCATGAGGTGGACCTGCCCCACAGCCGCCAGGGCCTGCTTCTGGGCCAGCTTGGTGGGGCGCACCGTTAGGCCCAGGCGCTGGCAGCCCACGCCCACGGCGCCACTCGACACCAGGATGACAAAGTGGCCTTGACAGGGAGGGGAGGAGTGAAGGCCACACGAATGATGGGGTATGGGGAAGGAGGCCAAAAATGTGCTGGGGGAGGGGAGGACTGCCCTGCGGAGGTTGCCAGCGGCCTGCTCAAGCACCTCCCTAGCGCATGTGAAGTGGTGTTGAAATCTGCTCAGAAGGGGATCGCGCGTAATCCCTTGGCCGCTACTACCACCTTTCCTGCGGGTGGTAGTGGTGCAGCCGTGCTGCTGTCACTGCTGCAAGGCCAGCAGCAGCAGCTGCAGCAGCCTGCACGTCGCCAGGCCACCATCCGGCACACCCTCACTGCACCCGCTGGTCTACACGTCACCGCTGCCGCCACAGCTGCCGGCCGGCCCCCACCCACCCTCATTGTGCAGCTGCTTGATGACCTCACACACTCGTGCCAAATTTGAGAGGTTGAGGCTGTGGAACCCCTCGTTGATGAGGCTGCTGGTGCCGATCTTGATGACCTGCACAAGGCGGGGGGGGGGG